CCCCCCCCCCCCCCCCCCCAACCCCCTCCCTCTCCTTTCTTAAAGACCATCCTCCGTTTCACGAATGGTAATCTGATAGCCCAACGTGGAGGACATTGAAAACAAGACCATCTAAAAAAAAATAAAAAAATAAATAAACATCTTTCGTTCGCCAATCAAAAAAACTCGAAGCATAATCTCAAGGACGTTAAAAGACGGGAAAAAAGAAAAAGAAAAGAAGTGCAATAACAAGAACAAAAAAACAAGAAAAAACGAACAAAACGGAAATGGAAGTAACTAATTACATTGCGTCGAACGGCACGAAGGCAGCGGAGACGAACACACATGTCAAGCGGCGGCCACGTGTCAATCAAGAGCAAGTCCTCCACATCCCTCCCGAAGTGTTGCTCCCGGGCGATATGAAGGAAGTGTTGACAACAACAACAAACAGCAAAAAAATGCGTTGACGGCACGAGAGCAGCGGCGACGAACACACGTGTCGAGCGGCGGCCACGTGTCAATCAAGAGCAAGTCCTCGACATCCCTCTCGAAGATTTGCTCCCGGGCGATATGAAGGAAGTGTTGACAACAACAACAAACAGCAAAAAAATGCGTCGACGGCACGAGGGTAGCGGCGATGAACACACGTGTCGAGCGGCGGCCACGTGGCTCAACTCAACGTGAGCCACGTGGCCTCCTTCACATCCGCGGCGGATGAGCACTTCGACTAGCTGAAGAACAGTGTGCGCATAATGCTGACCATCCTCCGACGATGACATGAATATCATGATGACGATGATGACGATAATGATCATGACGATGATGATGATGACGATGATGACGATGATGATGATGATGACGATGATGATGATGATTAACGGCGTTCTAATGAGTAGTCTAACGGTTGGCGAGCCACGTGTCCAGCGGCGGCGTCGGCACTGACTACCCCACCTCCCATGACATGGTCGTCACTACGGAAACTCCAGCGTCCTACGTCGTCCAATTTAACGATGCTGAGGTTGATCGTGATCAGAAGCGCGCTGATTAGCTTAACAGCTGCCAAGCCACGTCTCCGATGATAGTGACGATGATTATGATAGTGATGGTGATTGATTAATGATGATGATTAATGGATTGAATAATTGATTGATGATGATGATTGGTTTATAGATGACGATGATGATGACGATGATGACGAGCGTGCTAATTTGCTTGACCGCAGGCGAGGCAATTGTCCGATGATGATGATGATGATAATGATGATGATAATGATGATGATAATGATGATGATAATGATGATAATGATGATGATGACAACGATGACAATTATGTTGATGATGTTGACAATGATGTTGATGATGATGAAAAGCGCGCTAATCCCGCTTGAGGACATTCAAGCCACGTGTCCGATTATGACGATGATAATGATGATGAAAAGCGCGCTAATTCCGTTGACGAGAGGCGCACCACGTGTCCAGCCGCAGTGTCTGTGCTTCCACGAGATCGACATCATTACAAACGATTAACCATCTTCGGCGACTTCCATCGCTCCAATTGCATGATGATGATGTTGATGACGTCCACGATGACGATGATGACGTCAACGATGACGATAATGCTGATGATGAGGAGCAGCGTCCTAATAGGCCTGACCGCGGCTGGCGAGCCACGTGTCCAGCGGCGGGGTCTGCGCCGACTCTGCCTTCTCCCACGTGGTCGACAAAATAACCGCCGGATAGCGCTCTCCGGCGACCTCCTCGGCGGGCACGGCTGCCTCCATCTCCTCCATCTCTTCTTTGGAGAGGACCATGGCCAGCGATCGGAGGTTGTCTTCCAGGTTGGGGATCTTGGTGGTCCCGGGGATGGGGAAGACGTCGTTCCCGCGGTGATGCACCCACGCGAGCGCCAGCTGGCCCGGCTTGACACCCTTCGCGTCGGCCATAGCTTTCAGCCTGTCGTAGAAGACCCTGTTCTTCTCCAGCTGCTGAAACTTGGGGTGCATGTGCCGGAAGTCGATGCTCTCGAGCTCCTCGGTTATGGCTTTGCCGGAGAAGAAGCCGCGACCGAGCGGACTATACGCCACGATCCCGATGCCCAGCTCCCGACAGACGGGCACGATCTCCGGCTCCGCCCCGCGCTCCCACAGCGACCACTCCAGCTGCACCGCCGTGATCGGATGAACGGCGTGCGCGCGGCGGATGGTCTCCGCCGTGGCCTCCGACAGTCCCAGGTACTTCACTTTCCCCTCCTCCACCAGCTTCTTCAGCTCCCCCATCGTCACCTCGATCGGGATGGTCGGATCGATGCGGTGCACGTAGTACAGGTCGATGTAGTCCGTCTGCAAGCGCTTGAGAGATGCCTCCGCCGCCGCGCGCACGTACTGCGGCGAGCCGTCCACGACCAACCACTTATCGGGCTCTCTCTTGATCGCGAACTTGGTCGCGATCTCGACTTTGTCTCGGATCGGAGCCAGAGCCTTTCCCAGCAGAACCTCGTTCGTGTGCGGGCCGTACACATCCGACGTGTCAAAGAACGTCATGCCGAGGTCCACAGCATGGCGGATCAGCGTCACCATCTCCTCCTCAGGCTTCGGCTCTCCGTAATGCGCGCTCATTCCCATGCACCCCAGCCCTTGTGCTGACGTCACCATTCCCTGCGAGCCAAGCGCTCGGCGCGGAATGACGGGAAGGCTGGCCTCTCCCATGACGACCACACCCTGTACAGCAGCACCACCTACCCACCTGCCACCTGCGTGCCCTCCTCCCGAACGAGGAGGGACCCTCCTCACCGCCTTCTCCTCTTTAACCGTGCTTTGGCGAAATGCCTTCTTTCTTCCCGCCCTTCGGCGCCAAAACCTTCTTCCCGTCCCGCTCTCCTTCGCCTTTGGCGCCGAAGTCTTACTCCTTTCCCGCGCTTACCCTTTGCCCGTCTAATCCTTTATGACCGCAATTTGGCGCCAAAGCCCTCCTTTCCCGCCCTTACCCTTCGCCCGCCTTATCCTCTATACTCCCGCCCTTTGGCGACGAAGCCTCGAAGTCTTTTCCCTGTGGCTCCGCGCTTTGGCGCCAAGGCCTTCCTTTCCCGCCTGAACCACTCACCACCAGAGGACGCGCTCTCGTTCTTCCTCAATCTCTCCCTCCTTTCCCACTTTCTCCCCCCTTCCTCTCCTCCCGCCTTCAACTGCCCTTGCCGCCTGAGCGTGTCTACGGCTCTCACGGGCAAAAGCGACGGCCTGGCTGCACGACGACCGCCATAGCCTTCGCAGCACGAGGTTCTACCTCGACCTTCGTGCTTCAGGCTTCAGGCTTCAGCTTCACCCTCGAGTTGCAATAGCCCCCAGGATGATAAAGCAGCGTTGAGTCTCCTCAACGCCCGAATCTGGACGTGTTTATGGAGATGTGCGGTCGAAGAAGCTCTGCACTCTTTATGCACAATTCCTGCAAACACATCCATGTCCCGATTCAGTTCAGGCATTGAAGAAACTCAACGCTGCTGATGGGACTTTGGTCCTCGGGCCCTTGTCCATCCACTCAATTATTTTATTTTATTTTTAACTAATATATTCTTCTATCATCGAATCCCCTCTCTTTCCCGCGCATGTGCAAAATGAGAACGAACTTCTCGTAGAATATGACCAGGCACTCGCGCATGTGAAAGGCAAAAATGTAAACACCAAAAAGGCGACGGGCACATGCCAGCAGGGAATTCATTCTTTTTTTTTTTTTTTTTTTTTAATTCTTTAAGCCCAACCAATTCAATTACCTGTCAAATCTGGACAGGACGGCCTTTCAGGCCTTTTTTWTTGTTCATTATAGTATTACGGGGAACCCCGTAGCAGCCACATCCGTGCTCAAGCCTCCAAYGAGGGAACATGCGGGAGCTGCACCCACCAGCAGGTGCGATACCTGCTACAGCAGGTGGGCGATACCGGCCAGGGGTCAGCCTGTAACATCAGGACCGAGCTTCTTCGATGGGCCAGTCACTGTGCCTCCCCTCCGGTCCCCTCCCCCTATGAACATCAGCATTCTCATTTTTATTTTTATTTTTGTTTGATTTCAAAGAAGTGAGCAATCGGGGCCGGGGTCCCCACAATTCAACCGGGGGCAAGGTCCCACTTGCACGGATTACGAGAATCTGGCCGTTGATCTCTGTTATCTACGGTCAGTATCGCTTAATTCGTGCAAGTGGGACCTAGCCCCCGGACTGGAAACTTCTGGCAGCATTGTGGAGCTTTTTGCGGGGGGCCAACTATGCGGAGGTCACAAAAGAAGTTCGTAAATGCAATTTAAAAACGGTTTTGCCCTTCAGTCAGGGCCCAAGTTTGACATGAGTTGAGTCAGGGGTGGCAGGGTTTTTTTTTTTTTTTTTTTTTTTTACTCAAAAAATGGTGAGATATGATCATTGAAATGACCGGCCCCAGGCAATTCAGAATGATTTCATTCTCCACATCTGAGGGCATTTGGATTCGAACTTGAGTCTGTATTTCAACAGTTCAGGGGTGTACGAACAGAGATAGGCCCCTTGGTGCAGGGTGGGCAGTTTAGCCACCCTTGGCATTAAATTTTCAGTTCACGGTCCAGTCGCATCCCTACTTTCATGTGTCAAAATCAGTCTAAATTGCGACTGGACCCCTGACTGAAACTCGCAACTGTAAGAAAAAAAAAAAAAATAAAAAAAATGAAACACCCAACTGTGACTGAACTGCCAACCCAAACTTCCAAAAGACTGAACTGCCTATATTGGGATCCTTTTATTATTATTATTATTTTATTTTTTTTAAGGCCCTTGCAAGGCCTCTATCCTGGTGGTGGTAAGAGAACCACCGGGATTGAGGCTGAGGCTTTGCCTGGCGGGCCACTCCATCTGTTGGTGGGGAGCAACACCTGCTGGAAACCGGGTCCAGCGTCCCTAAATACATCTTCACAAAAGGAACATCTTGAGAGTGGTGCCATTGTGCTGGAAACCGGGTCCAGCGTCCCATATCCAATCTATTTTTCCAAACCTAGCCAGCAGCAGGGTCGGGTATTGGGGGGGGGCACCGGGGGGCACCGGGGGGCACCGGTGGGGCCTCCTGCCATCCCCTAGCCTCTGCCATCCTCCTACAATCCCCATGGCTCTTACTGTGTCTTATTGTGTCTTTACTCTCTGCAGTTGCTGTTGAAAAAGGCTGACAACATCGGCAGGCTAACTTGCACTGCAACATGCTATGTCCTATTTGAGAAATTTAAATGTCACTAATTCCCCAAATATTCCTCCAGGGCCAAAGGGTGAGGGGGAAAAGGATTGCCTTGCTGGACCCGTTTTCCAGACCTGTCATATGAACCATACCGGTGTGCCTGGATCATACGACACTGGCTGCCCTTACAAAAAAAAAAAAAAAAAAAAAAAAAAGACTGAACTGCCAACCCCCTTTTTTTTTCTTTTTTTTTTTCCCCTTTTTTTTGCCAACCCTAAATTCAACTGCATTTGGAACTTTGGACCTGACTTGGGGGCTCGTTAGACACTCCTTGGGGCGTCCTCGGGCTCCGAGGGAAAATCCTCGGGGCCGCCCGATGATTTTCCCGCTTTCGTTCCACTCGTCCCTCGGGACGATCCCCGAGGATGCTCCAAGGACTGGCCGCGGGGAGTCGTATAATGTTATACGCGGCCGCGGACGACTGTTTGGGCGGCGGTCCATCGTCTGGTGTCCGTGTGGCCAGCCTTGGTCCACCACGTGCGGGCGTCGAATTTGAAAAGGGACTGGCCACGTCGTGGCAAAAGGAAAATCACGCGCGCGCGCATGTGGTTTCGAAATTCAAAATTTGAATGGGCCGAGCATGGCCTCTGGAGATGCGTGCGTGGGACGACCCCATCGGGGAAGCGCAGGGGTGTTGCAGTGGGCGTCATGCGGATGAGCTCGTAGCCGTTTGGGCGTCACCACAAACTTCCACACGTATTACAAGATGTGATGCACCCTGCCTACGGCGACTGCAGCAAGCGCCGTGTTCCGCCTTGCGTGTTCGTGTTCGCACAATCTGTTGCAACCGCCATCTCCGTCAACTTCTTCGTCGTCAGTGTCCATTGGTGGCGGCCTTGTGTCGTGTTTTCGGCATCTTCTGTCGGCGTGGGTGAGTGCGATGTCTTCCGTAGTCGATGTGCGTTCGGTCGGTGATGGGGATGAGGCCGGGGCTAGGTTATCCGTTTTGGAGAGGGCTGCAGTGACGGCTGTTGTCAACACCGTCATCATGCGTTGCGAGATGGAGGGCGCAGGTGAACGACTGAGGGCACAGCTACGCGCGCGAAGAAGGAAGCTGATGCAGTCGCCGGCCTCTGAAGGGTTCGATAGCGTCGCCATATGTGACGCCGTGATGGAGGTATGCTATGCCCTAGGGTGTGGGGGACTGCCAATCGACCCCAAGGTGGTGGATGAAATGGAGGAGGGGGGGGACTTGGGAGGATCTTCGCCCTGCAGACGACGCCATTGAAGAGTACTTCCGCGAGAAATTACGGATGCTGCCACGTGTCTTCCGCGAGATCGTTGAGAACTTGTCGCCGATTCTCGAGCAACGTGTGACGTTCTACAGAGAGCCTTTGCAGCCAGACCACATCGTCACCTACGCGCTGTACCGATGGGCGTCTGGCGAGACATACGAGAGCAGCAGCTGCAGCTTTGGAATTGGCAGGGCTTTGGGTTTGGTGGTCGTCCGGGACGTCACTGCTGCGCTGCTATTGGTGCATAGAAGGTGGCGTGGCCGAAAAGGGTGCAGAAGGCGGTTGTTCTGCGTGCTTTTGCGGACAAGGGTTTCCCCAACTGTCATGGGTGTATCGATTGCACCCATGTCTATATCGACAAGCCGGCGAACGCACCTCCAGAAGACTACTTCGATCGCAAGAGACGATTCTCTATCGTCGCTCAAGTTGTGGTGGACTTGGACTTGCGCGTGCTCGATGTGTTTGTGGGTTATCCGGGGAGCTTCCACGACGTCATGGTCATCCATCTGTCCAGTCTATGGTCACGTGCGGCGGTGGGAGAGTTGTTCACAGGGCCACCTGTGCTGCTACCATTCCAAGTGCAGACGAATGGTTATCTGCTGGGCGACAATGGCTACCCGCCGAGCGAATGGATAGTTGTTCCGTATGGCGGCATAGCGCAGTACCCGTTCGAGATCCGTTTTGACAACAAGCAGAAGACCGCGAGGGGGGCAGTGGAGAGGGCCTTCGGGAGACTAAAGGGAATGTGGCGTTTGTTTCTTCGCTCGCACAAGACGAACATGGAGACCTTGCCGCAGCAGTTCGTGGCCGTCTGCATCTTGCACAACATCCTAATCGACGTTGGCATCCCTTTCGATGAGAACTTGTTGTGGGAGGTGGACGCCAATGGAGTTCACCGTCGAGTGGATCTTGGGATCCAACGCCCCCCGGGCCCTTGTGCATGGAAACTTCTACGGGGGAAGCGATAATGCTGCGTCAGGCGCTGGCGGAGCGAATGATGCAGCAATGAGCGATGTCGACGGCGTGGGGCGGCAGTACATGTTGCCTGCGTAGGTGGAAGAGCGTTTGACGGCGCTAGTAGAAGGAAGCAGTGTGCGAAAAGACGATGGGGATAGTAAATGTCTCATGCCGTCCAATTCATCGTTGTCATTGTGAAACGAAGACCGGAGTACGTTTGTATATTGTTGTAGTCCCCATCCATTATGTCGTCCAGATTTCGATTATGACGACCTTTTTTTTCCGAATCCCCGCCTTGAGATTGACGCGTTCGTAGTGCTCCATTCCCAGTTTAGAGGCAAGTCGTAGGGCGACAGATGTGGTGGAGGCGGACGATTAGTGTGGTTTGTGTATCGTGTGGATATGGAAATCGGGTCTGTGATGTGAGACAGACGCATTCATGCGTAGGGGTTCCTTTTCCCCGTTTTTCGAAGTGCAATGGTTTACACACACTACTTTTTTATGACAAGGGTTTGATGATTGTTGTGTTGTGTTCGCGGATTTTTATTGCTTGCCGTTGACTGTTTTCCTCCCTGTCATGTGCACTGCATGGTGAGATGAGGGCGTACTTACGTGCGTCATGATGTGAATGACTGCAAGCCATTGATGATAGCATTCATTTGTGTTGATATTCGTCCATAGTCCAAATGGTGGAGTGCATTTTTTGTGTTGCGAATCATTCATGCCATCTTCGTGAAAGTGTTGTCACTGGTTTACTGATGAATGTATGAAAAAGAAGTACAGGCTATGAAAACTACAATCTCTTACACTGATTTGAAGTACATTATCACCAAAAGCTTTACATGGAAACTTTGCAATCTGAAAGGAAAAAAAAAAAAAAAAAAAAAAAAAAAGGAGTACGATATAAAACGACCATTCGCAATAGCATACGAAATAATATCGCCACCAATGATGCGCATAGACATGATGCATATGAATGACACCGCACACTGGAGGATATGAATGACACCACATAAAAAGTACACTGTGTACACCATTGCACTTCGGAAAACGGGGAAAAGGAACCCCTACGCATGGATACGTCTGTCTCACATCACGAAGCCGATTTCCATATCCACACGATACACAAACCACACTAATCGGCCGCCTTCACCATATCTGTCGCCCTACGACTTGCACATAAACTGGGAATGGAGCACTACGAACGTCTCAATCTCAAGGCGGGGATTCGGAAAAAAAAGGTTGTCACAATCGAAATCTGGACGACATAATGGATGGGGACTACAACAATACACATACGTACTCCGCTCTTCGTCCCACAATGACAACGATGAATTGGACGGCATGAGACATTTACTGTCCCCATCGTCTTTTCACACACTGCTTCCTTCTACTAGCGTCGTCAAACGCTCTTCCACCTACGCAGGCAACATGTACTGCCGCCCCACGCCATCGACATCACTCATTGCTGTATCATTCGCTCCGCCAGCGCCTGACGCAGCAAATATGTACATCGACGACAAAAGACGACGCCTGGATGTCCGTCATCATCCATGTTCTTATCAGTCGTCATCGCCGCTATTCCACCCTACGAAGCGTCTTCGTGGGGTGCAACCGTTACCTTTTCCATGTTTGTGCGCCGCCCACCATCCCCCACTTCCAGAGACGTCGTCTTCTCATCGCGCATCCGGCACGTCATCCATCGTCGCTCTTTACTGGCCATGCCATGTCTCCTCGCCCTTCCGCATAGCGCGCCGCCATACAACACCATTTCTGCTTCTCCGCGCATGTCCGGAAGACTACATTCACGAATCTCCGCCACCGTCCTTCTCTTCATCTTCGTCATCGATATCAGGAGGTCCTGTGCCTAACCAATCTAGTCGTCTGGCGTGTTCAGGAGACGTCAACGTGGTGTCGTTGTAGAACGTAACCCCACACGAAACCCACTCGGGGATGTACACCGGAGGGTCGACCAACGCCATGGGGGGCTTCCCCATTTTCTCCGTCACTGCATTAACACACTGCAGAACATGGCGGCGCGCGTCGAACGATCGATGTAGCGACGCAATGAGCGTTGGTTTGGCAATGAGCTCCACTAGATAGGACGCCTCGTAATGCCAGCGAAGATTATCTCCCGCCATCCGCATGATCAATATGGCGGCAGACAACAAAAGGCACATGCAGTCTGCCACGTTCCTCAACCTGTCGTACGATATCCGCCCACCGTCTACCCCCTCCCCCATGTCGACCGTTTTCGTGAAAGCTCCCACCAGATGCTGCGTTGTGGACTCCTGATACAACGCCATCTCGTCGTCCTCGTGCCTATCGTGTATCACGCCACCTACGTACCAGATGGAGAGCTTCATTTGAAGGTCAAAAGTGTTATGGACGATTGTCGGACTCACGCATACCCGCCTGTCCTCTCCATACCAGATGGTGCGGGCGATGTCTGTGGCCACGTGGTTCAGCACATAGTCGTAGGAGCAGTGATACCCGCGCGCGCGACAGAGGGACTTGAAGATCCACCCATTGATGATGCGCAACGTGATGCTCTGCACCCTCACAGCCCTCTCCTTGGCGGCCCCCAACTCCGACTCGTCTTCCAACTTCTGTTGAGGGAACGTGGAGTCTGGCAAGACAATGCTTTTTCTTATCTCCGGCAGCCTGACACCCGTGGCGATGGTGAGGAGGTGCACGCGCATCTCGTGGATAATCGTGAACATCCTATGCCCCTCCGTCTCGTTCCAGAAACGCAGATCGTCCACCCACAGTCTTGTTTTCGCCTCCAGAGCTTCCTTACCGGCGGATCGCCTCTGCCTGGTAATGGTAGGATCGTCATCATCTGCATTAACACGGTCGTCGCCACCACCTTCCCCCCCGCCCCCCGTAGATGAACCACCACCGGAAGCCACCGCTTGCGCATCATTCGTGGGATCTCGCATCATCGGTTGTCCCGTCACCGCCGCATTCACCGTCGTCCCTCCTTCCCTTCTTGCCTGTCCTGTTGTGGGCGTCGCGGGGTTCGAAGGCGGCCGCATTGCGACATTGGCGCCTGTCTTTCCATGTCTTGGGCCGTGTGGACTTCCTTCAACGGCACGGTATTGCGCATGGCAGGGGTCGCCGAATGTCCGCGCTCGTCCCTGATAGGAACACTGCCTTCCATGCCGCCTCCCTCGTCATCCCTGCCACACGCAACCCCGCGAACCCCATCTTTACCAGTGTCGACGCCTTCCTTTTTACTCACCATTCGCTTGTTGGACTGTTCACGCAAGGTCCCTTTCCTCCCATGAAACGTCTCCTCCTCGGTTTCGAAATCGTCGTCCTCTCCGCTGCTGGCCGCGGTAACCCACTCTTCCTGCGCGGACCTACCGATCACCAGAGCACCGCCGCGTGATGCCTTGGGCTGCTTCGCCTGATGCCTTCCCCTTTTCATGGCGCCAACAACTTCCGTTTTCTGGCAATCCCTCCCCCTTTTCCCCTTGTCGGAGTTGCGATTATTCGTCATCGGCGAGAACACTAACACCGACGATGACGGAGGCCGGACGGACTCGAGTGCAGACAACAGAAGCCCTGTCGCTCAATGCGTTCGACTGAAGTGATGGACGATGCCCAGATCTTGTATAGATGACGGCAATGATGAAGAAACGACGTCCACACGACTGCCAGAACGACACCCAACCGAGCGCTGAAAAAAGACGACCTCGCGAGAAGAAGGGGCGGCGAGACAAGCAGTGCGCGAACAGGAGTCGGAACGTGGAGATGACTTCTGCCGAGAACGATGGCGGCGAGACAAGCAGTGCGCGAAGACCGGACGGATCGTGAAGATGACGTCTGGCAAGAACGGCCGCGGCGAGAAAAACAGTGCGCGAAGAGGAGTCGGGACATGAAGATTCCGTCTGGCGAGAACGATAGCGCCGAGACAAACACAACGCGAAGACCAGATGGATCGTGAAGATGACGTGTGGCGAGAACGACACGTTTCGCCCAACGAACGACGACGTGGACGACCCGTCAAAGTGGAGGGCGCCACTACCAATCGCAAAGCGTGAGGAAGTGTCAGGTCGCCATGCGTGGACTGGACGACCGTCTTGTGTGATCGCTAGATGACGCGCGTGGTGTTTATAAGCGAAAAGTGCGCGTGTGGAAGGTTCATTTAGCGGCACGGATAAGGGGTCGTGTTCAAGCCTCCTGCCGCCTGCGTGGACAGGTCGTCATCGCTGTCGTGGCAAATGTTCTTGACGCGTCGGAGGCACTATGAAGTTTGGGGGGAGGGTGCGCTGTCACCCGCCCAGTTGACTGTGAACATCCTACTGGGCGACTGAAGGGAATGCCAGAGGGATCACGCCATTTGCAACCCGTTTTTCCACACTCCCAAGGCGGGTATGAGGCATCCCGTGAATCATGCTGAATGAGACCCCCAACAAATGCCCACCCCGACCGCGAAATGACGATACACCACCTAAAAAGCCCTCCACACCCCCGCTGGCTGTGTCATGCAAGTCTGATACGGACGACTGAACAAAAAAAAAAGGGGAAGTCCTGAATTGGAATTCAATGTCGAATGTGGACATCATTTCAAGGGAGATATTAAATGGCAACACAGAAATAGCAATGACCAGAAAAGAAATGCTCATTCAATAGGATACAACAAAAAATCAAAAGGTGGAAGCACGAAACATCTATTCGCTGTAAGAAAGCAAGTATCATGCAATAAACAGAGTACAAAAAACCTCCACAGCATAACAACCGAGGATATTGCAAATGGAAGTAATGAGTCTCTCTCTCTCTCTCTCTCTCTCTCTCTCTCTCTCTCTCTCTCTCTCTCTCTCTCTCTCTCTCTCTCTCTCTCTCTCTTTCTCTCTCTCTCTCTCTCTCTCTCTCTCTCTCTCTCTCTCTCTCTCTCTCTCTTTTTCATTGTGAAACAAACCAATACACAGAGGAAAAGGGAACACACACATTGCACAAGTACATCGTTAATGACAGAACATGGAATCCAAATTCAAAACAGGACCTGTCAATAATCAATTTCCAACTCTCTCTCTCTCGCCGTCTCTCAGTCACAATGGAACTGCAATTCCCAAAACAAGGAAGTTCAAACTGTCCATGTATTTACTTTGCAAGATAAAGAAGTGAATCAAATGGTCCTCCACGAACCTCTACCGGCCACGTTCATCATCACAGTGTGGTCGGTTCATCCGACCACCTCCCGATTACGAGCACACTACAAGGACGGTCAGAGCTAAAAAATTAAAAATAAAACAATACGGGCACTCGGCCCTCCACAATGTACAAAGGAAGAACTCCAGGGATAAGACGGACAGACCGACAGAAGTACGCTCACGACATACATTCTGCTAGTCATCTACAAACACTACCCGAAAAGAAGGCGACGACACTACATGAACTACCAGTGCGAATGAACACCATGATCCAACTAAAAAAGACGACACGTGCGTGAGAAGAAATTGACATCCATAGCCGAGCAATGCCCTGTGCCAGACATTCCCATCTACCGCTCTCGTATAGCCTTCGCTTATTCCATCAGCGCATCACACATCAACTTGCTAACTTCATTAGACACAGTGCAGTGTTGCTTCTGGACCTCCACCTCCGCTTCCAGAGCTTCACACTGTCGAAGTTGAATGGAGCATTGCCTCTTGCTCGCGCTCTCCATCGTCTCGCATTGCCTCTTGCTCGCGCTCTCCATCGTTGACGCCATCAACGCCCCATGCTTCTCCATGCACTCAGTCAAGGCCTCGAATGTCTGCTGCCGCACATTTTTTCTCTTCCCAAACGCCGCCGGACTGTCAGTCGTCTGTGAGCCCCCCCACGCTGAGCTGTCGTCTTCGTTGTTGCCATCTCCACCGCCATCCCCGTCCCCCACAGATTTCAGAGTCGCCGACTGTGCAGATGGGAGTTGCACACCTCCTGCGCCGCCGGTGTCTGCAACACTGGTCGGGCTGATAGTGTGGCTCCTCTCCTTCGCCCCTTTGATCTCGTCATACATGGCCCGATCCATGTTAAAGTTGAATCCTTTTTCTCCCCTCTGCTGACTCGTCAACTAAAAGAAGTCCTCCCTCCCCGACATACCCATGAAAGTGTAGATCTTTTTGAACTGTTGCATGTGGTTATCCCACTTTTTCCCACATTTGTCTGCTGGCCTATCAACACCGACCTTCAGCAACCTCTCCCTGACGTCCGCCCATTTCCACTCCCTCGACCGCGTCCGTGCGAATGCATGCCCCGACGCTTGCAGTTGGGCGTCCTGATCCCGCTTCGCCCTTATAAGGGCCACCATGTGTTCCACTGACCAGAAATTTCTGCCACCCTCTCCCTCCCCCTCAGCTTCCACATCAGCAGAAGTTGCCGACGACTTCTTCCGCCTCCGCGTTGCGCTCGTCGGACCCCTGCCTCTGCCGCCCCTGCCACCCATGTTCGGCGCATGCAACGGGAACACGTCACCGCTGTCGTCGTCCTCAGCGTCGCACTCAACTTCGTCAACGTCTGCCCACGTGTCACCTCCCCCGCCAGCCCCGTCCGCTTGCGAGGCTGCTCACCCACGCGTAATCGCTGCACACCTTGCGTAATGGACTCTTCTTGCTGTCGCCGTAACTCCTGCCTCGACTCCTTCCATAGCCGCCTGCCATCTCCATGCGCACCCTCGAAAGGGAAGTCTTCGTAAGTGACACCCCGTTGAACAGGACGACGAACGTCGTCGCGGCCCCCGGGCAACGCAGAGGGGAGGTGCATCCATTGCGGACAACCGCCAGTGCTGCGTGGAACTAACGGGCCACAAGTCACCTGCGCTGTAGGCCACTCCCTCGTCTTCTCCGACATCTCCTGAGGCGCAGTACCACCCCTCGTGCCCCTGCCGACCAATGTCACCTGCCCCGCGTCGTCATCGGGATGAGGGTTGACGATCGCAGTGCGCGTGGCGGACGATGGGCTCCCGCTCCGCAGGCCAAATGTGAGATCCACACGGGGGAGGCATTCGACCTCCAAGGCACCTTCGTGGAGGAGGGAAGTGAACGACTGCTTGTACTTCGTTCCGCGCCGATCATACAACTGGCTACCCGTCCATTCCTGGGTCGACCCGCTACCCAACGGAACTGTCCTCGACACGTCTACGTCCGACTCCCCCTCGTCCGAATCGGGCAGAGGCTGCAAGTGAGGCGGGAGTCCTTCGTGCAGTGACGGACCTGCCGCCCTTCTGTCTACACCAGTAGAGATCGCAGGCCGGTGGCTGGGATAAGTGTCGAACAACGTCGTAAGATTCGGTTGCCGCTCGTCCATGGCCACGCTCTTCCTCGCCCCTCGTTTCCTGCGACTACGTGAAGGCAACCTCCCCAATATGCACACTGAACAAAGATGACAACGACAAGCAGAATCACTACGAGGAAGAGCAGCGGCAGCTTGCGGAACACGTCGGCCATGTACGGCAACCGTTCTCGCAAAGGCAACTAACGACGACAACGCACCAGAACGTAACCGTTACGGCTACCCAGCAAACAGCAGACGGCAAGTGACGACTGATGACGCCCTCAGCCGCTTTACATTGCGGAGCACTGCGCGCGGTGACGGACCTTCGCCAATGTGATTTTCGAAACGGCTGCCCGTTGGAGGCCTTTCCGTTTCCCGCGGGCATGGGTGAGGGGCTGGTTTCAACCGGAAACGTCCACGGACCCCATCCGCCACCCAACGTTACCGTTGCCGTCGTATCCACCAGAGTCGAACGTTATCGGCCGCAAATGTCTGCCCACACCTCGGCTGGACCAGCATTGTACCAGACTCCAAAATTCTGACGTTGTCGAAGGATGCCGCCGACGTCCCGATTTTCACGGAAACTCACACTCCGAGGGACCTCGCGACGTACCTTGGGGAACGCAGCCAAATGCCTGTAGCCCAAGGACGCCCCGAGGACGCCCCGAGGAAATGTTTTCACATCGATTTCGAGGGAACGGTCTCCGAGGACAGGTGGAACGATCATTTCCTCGGGATTTTTGAGCGCCCGAGGAGTGTCTAACGAGCCCCTTGCTGCAAGAACCATCTTCCGAACTGTTTTTTTTTTTTGTTTTTTTTTGTGCATCAGTGCGCCATAGATCCAGCAGCCTAGCTCAGTTGGTGAGGCAGGCAAGTGGCATTTAGTAAGTCTTGGGTTCAATCCCCATTGGCCTCGTGTACCTTCCTGGGCAAGCTTGGCGCCCGCCACCTAGAGATATAGGCTGTTGGTTCCTCCGAGTGGAAATGGGCAGAGACTGCTGATGTTCATAGGGGGAGGGTACCGGAGGGGAGGCACAGTGACTGGCCCATCGAAGAAGCTCGGTCCTGATGCTACCGGCTGACCCCTGGCCGGTATCGCCCACCTGCTGTAGCAGGTATCGCATAGGGGGAGGTGACCGGAGGGGCGGCACAGCAACTGGCCCATCAAAGAAGCTTGGTCCTGATGCTACCGGTTGACCCCTGGTCTGTATCGCCCGTCGCACCTGCTGGTGGGTGCAGCTCCGACATGTTCCCTCATTGGAGGCTTATGGGTTCCCCGTAATACTATAATGACAATAAAAAAGGCCTGAAAGGCCGTCCTGTCAAGATTCCACAGGTAATTGAATCGGTTGGGCCTTTGGGGAAAAAAAAAAAAAAAAAAAAAAACCAGAGCCATAGTTTTCTCAAAAAACGAAAAAAAAAAAACAAAACGAAAGAGGCTCTCTTCAGCCAACTCGTTGCAGGGCTGACGCTGTCTTTCACGAGTGAGGCATAACCAGACAAAATGAGTTCCATGGAAGTCAAGCCGGCCGAGCCCGTTGCCGTTGTCCCGGAGTCGGTCCTAAAGAAGAGGAATCGAGATGAAGCGTGGGCGAAAGCTCGTGCTGACGAACTGCGCGAGAAAAGGACCAAGTACAAGAAGAACAGAGTAGTCATCTTCAAGCGGGCGAAGCAGTACATCAAGGAGTACCGTGCCCAGGAAGCCGATCTTGTCCGTCTGAAGCAGTTGGGGAAGCTCAAGGGTGGGTTCTATGTTGGGGCGGAACCAAAGGTCATGTTCATCATCAGAATCAGAGGTATCAATGATTTGCACCCCAAGACGAAGAAGATTTTGCAGCTTCTCAGGTTGAGGCTAGACCCGGTTTCCAGCAGGTGTTGCTCCCCACCAATCGATGGAGCTGTTTGTCAAAAAAAAAAAAAAAAAAAAAAAAGGAGGCAGATCTTCAACGGTGTGTTCTTGAAAGTGAACAAGGCCACCGTCAACATGATCCGTAGAGTTGAGCCATACATCACGTATGGGTACCCCAGCCGAAAGAGTGTCAAGGAGCTTATCTACAAGCGTGGGTACGGAAAGGTCAACAAGATGAGGATCCCTTTGAAGGACAACGCCATCATCGAGAAGGAGCTTGGCAAATTCGGCATTATCTGTATTGAGGACCTGATTCACGAGATCTACATTGCTGGTCCCCACTTCAAGGAGGCGAACAATTTCCTCTGGCCGTTCAAGATCAACTGTCCTGTAGGAGGATTGAAGAAGAAGAGATTGCATTGTATTGAGGGCGGTGATGCCGGTGACAGGGAGACGAAGATCGATGCGCTCATCCAGAGAATGAATTAGGTTTTGTGTTCCTTGAATCGTAGGTTTTAATTGTTGTCGATACGGTCCGGGAGATAACGGTCGGCTGAAAGATGTGACGCCGTAGGATGGTAATGAGGTATGCCTCTGCGTGTTGATGTCGGTCTGCTACGCCGATCAGATGGGAACATGAATAGAGGCGAGAAGAGAGCATAGCACAGATTTGTCCGCAAGAAAAAATGCTGCAGACATGAAAGCAACGTGTCCCAAAACCCCCGGTTTAAGAGATGTGGTGCAGGGGACGATGTTGAACTTCATGAAAGGAGATTTTGGGCCGTAGGGTTATGGTCCACATACCTGAGTGTTGCAGGCTGTACGTGGATTTTCGGCTAATGGATTTTTTCGATGAATGCGAACAATTTGGCCGAGCGGGTCCGAAACGGTCCGCCGATCTTGTAGGGGAAAAAAAAAAAAAAAAAAAAAAAAAAAAAAAAAAAGAAAAGGAAAGAGGAAAAGGGATTGGAATAAACGGCCAAAAGAGAGTCAGGGTATGAGCCGGAAATGGGAGGAAAAAAGGGGAGCAGAAAGTAGAGGTGGACGGAAGTTGGGGGGGGAGGGAACAAGGAGGGCATGGGGAAGGGTCAAGGAGGAGGGCCCATGTACTTGCAGCGACTCGGTACCACTGTCAGTGTGAGCGTGAGCTGGTTGTGTGTGGTGTGCGGGAGAGTGTTGGCCATAGCCTCTGCTGCTACTCCATGGGGGGTGGAGGAAGCAGATGGGAGACGCAGCTACAGGCAAAAGGCTCCTTCTTTGTGTTAGCAAGTCCCCCCCACGGGTGGCCCCACCCTACTCCCTGATTACCGCAGTTTAGGGCGGGGGGCAACATTGTGAGAAGTAGCTATGCTTGCAGGGGTCCCCTGTATAGGCTTAGGAGTAGGGGGGCACTACAGGTGGAATTGAGAGCGGGAAAAAAAAAAGGATTTTTTTTTTTTTTTTTTTTTTCTCCCTTTGTTTTCTGGCCCGACGAACGACCGATCCCTTTCTGGAGGCCAAGTTACACTACCAGCGTTGATTTTTCTCGACGCCCGTGCACTTCCATTCCTTGCTATTCGTTCGATATTGTACACAGGCCCCGTGCGCACGATTGACACATGTGGCACATTCTACCCAATCGACAAACCCAGTTTCGAAGGGATGACAGTCGACCCCATAAACCCGTGCAATGCACGTCTAAAAATAACAGAATTTATCGGGGAGGATGGCAAAGAAAGCTGAGGAAGTAAGCGGGGCAGAATTAGTAAGAGAAGAAGGGGTTGTAAAGGCAGGCGGAGTAGTCATGATGACAGAGGGGAAGAGACGGGACTGAATTGTGGAGAGGCAAATTAGTCCCCGTGTCACTTACTGCTTCGACAAAATCTCCACTTGGCCGTACCGAGGTCCAATCTTCTGCTCGGGTTCGTTCCACGGGATCACCTCCTCACTTTTTAGAACTTTCTCAGGCCTGTGTAACCGTGTCAATCCGTCCGCGTTCCCGTGTCTCTCGTGCTTCCGATGGCGGATGCCAAAGTCCATGCTCTGCAGCACCGTTGCCCATCGCCTCATCATGCCCGAGTAATCCTTCGATTTCTTCAGAGCCAACAGGGGCTCATGATCAGTCACCAGGGTGAACTTTCGCCCATACAGGTAAGCACAAAAAAGACTGATTCCCCAGAGAGCCGCATAGCATTCTCCCGTCGGAGCGGCGTAGTTGCGCTTGCAACCGGGTACTGATTTGGACGCATACTCCACCACACTCTCGAGTCCGCTTGGTCCCACCTGGGCAAGGATCGCCGAAATCGCCTCTGGCTGCCAGTCAGTGATGAGAACAAAAGGTTTTTCGGGATCCGGTCTTATAAGGACCGGAGCCGAAATGAGAGCAGCCTTAAGCTTGGAAAACGCTCAATCGCACTCGGGCGTCCAGATCAACGGTTGATCCTTCCGCAGGAGATTTGTGAGGGGTCCCGCTATTGTCGCAAAGCCCTTGATGAATCTTCGGTAATATGATGCTAGGCCCAGAAAGGCGCGAATTTGCGTGATAGTGGATGGCACTGGCGCGTCCCTGACAGCTGCCACCTTCTGCGGCTCCTGTTGAAGTCCCTTGTCTGTCACCACGTGCCCTAAGAAAGAAATGGTGGTGAGGAAAAACTGACACTTCTCAAGCGCCACCTTGAAACCTGCATCTCGTAACGCATGCATTGCCCATTCGATGTGCTGCACGTGTCCCTCATAAGAACTCGAATACACTAGGATGTCATCCATGTACATAATCACGCAGTAGTTGATGATGCTCTGTGCCAAACAAGTCTTCCGTACGAAATTATGAAAAGCCATGTTCATGGCCCGCTGAAAAGTTGCAGGAGCATTGCAGATACCCATCGGACATCGAATCCATTGCCACGTGCCTTTGAAAAGCACAAACGCTGTTTTCGGTCGATCTTCCTCTCGGACAAGAAGATGATGGAACCCATGACGAACATCAAACTTGCTGAAAAATCGAGCACTCTCAATCGCATCCAATAACTTATCAATCCGGGGGAGGGGATACACATCTTTAATCGTGATATCATTCAACTTTCGATAATCAATGCAAATGCGAATCCCCCCAGCCTTCTTAGGTACGATCACTACAGGGAAGGACCATGGTCCTATAGCGGGTTCTTTCCATCCATTAGCTTCGAACTCCTTAATCCGCTGAAAAGCGGCCGCTCGTTGAGCTGGCGAGTATCGATAGGGAGCGTAGCTAATGGGCGGATGATCTCCCGTAAGAATGGCATGTTCAATTACATTAGTTAACCCGATGTCATTATCATGCATGCTCAGCACTTCTGCGTAACCATTTAATACACAGATTAGCGACTTCCGAAATTCCGCGTGAACGTGACTCGGGAGGGAGATCGTCGATTCCCCGGACATATTAAGGGGCATATCGATCCAGTCAACCGGTCGTTCCCCCTGCTCATGGACACTAAGAGAAAACGGAACTACTGGTGCGAACAGAAAAGACAGTTGCTATCATCTGGGACTCAGCGGGGCTGATCATCTCCGTTTCTTTAGTTTCGGCGTCAGTCTCTGAACCAACCGAAGTCGGTTTCACAGTTAGTCCTGTTAGATCCGTCATTTCTTGCATTAGATTCGGCACATCACTTACCGGTGCTTCCGCTTCTTGTTTAATCAAGGTGATGGTGGCTCCTGTCGTTAGTAATGATCGGGGTGGGAAAACAGAAATGTCCAAATACTGTTTCGTTTGCTGATAACGTGTTCGTAAGGAAAGAGCTCTCTCGTACAAAGTGCGAGGGGGTTCCAAATCATCAACCAGATCGGAAACTTGTAATATGGGTTCCCCGAGGAGGACAGAAGGACTGACCTGGGTTGTTAGAGGCGTGAATGTACTGTCTTCAGAATCCAAGTGGAAGCTTCGAGCGATGTTGGGGCACACTCGAAATTTTTCGGGGGTTTCATGTTCGAAAAGTTCAACCAGATGCTTCCATTCCTCTTTACTGGGCATCTCTTTTTCGTATTCTCGTTCCCTGATTCCATCCCCGAGGTGCGAGGAGGAGCATTCCTCGGGATCAATGTATCGGATCATCCCTATTTGGAGTGAGTTAGGAACCCGCAAGGGACCAGTCTGAGGCTTTCCCCCAGTCTGTGTGAGCACCAATTGTTTCGAATCGAAATGCAGACGTGCGCCCACCGCGATTGCCCAAGGCAATCCCAATAATACAGAGTAGGAACGTACATCTATTACAAGTGCGTTAACAAGGACGTGTACTCGACTCACTTTTACAGCTACGTTCTCGATAATGCCTATGATGTTCATTACTTCCTCGTTGGCAGAGACATAGTTGTCTTTGTTGATTGAGGAAGAATGGATCCAAGTCATCCTGTTTTTTTAACAGTCTCCAATGATATGGCCACTGCGGAAGACCCTGTGTCGATTAGGGCATTAAACGACTTACCCCAAACTTCACAGTCAAATTCCGCGCTTTTCCATAGTACCGGTCGAGCTCGTACGAAGTGATCCTTTTCTGCTAAAGAGATCGCTGCTATACGTGCGGCTTCGGGTTCAGGTTCTTTTGTGTCTCGCTCGAGGGGTGCAACCTCCTCACCTTCTTCCTTCTTCTTCAACATCCGTTGTACGCGCTGATAGGTGAAGCGTTTTTGATTTTTCTGACAATGTTGTAACAGTTTATCGTTCGCTGTTTCAGATATCGTGAGCAGATGTCCCACTGGGATGGACACGCGAATGTCTAGTTGCTTGAGCATTTTCAGTACATCAATATCCCTGTCCGAAACTGTGGTCGAGGATTGGACTCACGATCGACCCATTCGATATCATCTTGGGCCGATCGGATTGCTCCGATCATTCTGGCAAGATTGAGATACTCGAGGGGATCGACCACGTCAGCAGCGTCAGAGGAAGAGGCCCCTGATGTTGACGCCATTATCGTCGAAGGGGAAGACTGTTCTGGAGCATATGCTACGGCCTCTCCTCCCTGGTCCATGTCCATCAGAGCGGCCACTTGTCCTTGATTAAGGGCGACTGGGGCCGCAGCAGGGGGAGGCTGATTACGTTTTGGCTGCGGACAGTCCCGGGCAAAATGCCCGGGCTGTTTGCAGTTGAAACACTCGATCTTTCCTGCCGGATTAGCTAGAAGGGGAAACTGAAGGGTGAATCCGGGAGCAGGTGGAGCAGGTAAGAGCGGAAATGATACAGGGGTAGGTCGGGCCGGAGCCGGGTTAGGCTTAATGAGACGGCTCATTATCTGCTCCATCTGTTTCCATATAAGCCGCCTGCATTTGGATCAGGTTACTCATCTATTCGGACTGCTTAGTAGTGGTCGTGTGGATCATCTAGGCAAGATGCAAATCGGTTATAGCTGGCGAGGGGGGTTCAGATGGGGTTCCGCTTCTAACGGCTGTGATTGGTTGATTCACCGGGGGACAGGGGGAAGAAGCAGCCGGGATATCAGAGACGATTCCGCTAGGAAGGTCGTGATCGGGGCGGGGATAAAACCGTTTGACC